AGCAGGGTACTCAGAACCATCTGGGAAGGAAAATCAACTTTCACACTCACCCCTGATGCCCTCTGCACTCCTCAAAGGTATTCACAGTTTGAGAAGCCACCCTCCACTCTGCTGTCTGTCAGTGTACTCACTATATGACCGTGGACAGGCATATAATTTTTAAGTAAATGGGATCATAGTATTTACAAGTCATTCCATGACCTGCTTTTTTTTTTAACTTTACGATGTGTCTTGACAGTCTTTTCATCTCACTCTATATTTGTTGTTGTTGTTGGTTGCTGTCGAGTTGGCTTCTGACTCACAGTGGCCCTGTGTACAACAGAAGGAAACATTGCCCTGTCCTGCACCATCATCATTGGTATGCCCTAGTCTATTGTTGCAGCCACTGTATGTTTTGAGGGCCTTCTAACCTAGAGGGCTCATCTTCAGCATTATGTAGGACAGTATTCTGTTGTGATCCATAAAGTTTGCATTGGCTAATATTCAAAAGTAGACCGCTGGGCCTTTCTTCCTCGTCTGTCTTAGTTTGGAAGCTCTGCTGAAATCTGTCCACCGTGAGTGACCCTGCTGGCGTTTGAAATACTGGTGGCCTAGCTTCCAGCCTCATAGCAACTCACATCCACCACAGTACAATAAACTGAGAGACAGTGGTGGGTCACTATATATAGATCTTCCTAATTCTAGTTAACAGGCTGCACACTATTCCATTTGAGAGGGCCCTGAACAGTACCAGATGGATCCTGCCCACAAAGGACTCTGGGGAAAAACCAGAGTACCTGACTGAGCAGCGACCTGGGCCAGGAAAAAACACAACTGACTTCATGGTAATGTCAATTAAAACTCATTAACTAGTACAAACACAACCCCATTGATCATTGTTTAAACTCCTCTGTTAGCCCTACACGTTAGTGTTAGATGAAATGGTGTATAAGCACCCAATACTCACTACTGTGCACAGACCTTTACTGGGGTGATATTGGGCAGTTAGATATCCGACACAAGAATCTTGGCACTGATCTCTGTATGTAAGTTCCTAATAAAGCCTTGTCTGATCAACCTAGCTTTTACTGCTCCTGTTTTTGGAATCTGACCTGTGCTCCTTGGAGCCGCTCCTGCCACTGGTCCGATGCGGTGTGACACCATTATACAGACATATCATCAGGGTAATAATTACTATTCTTTGCGTACCTCAAGTGCAAACAGTGGAGTTAATCAGTCTCCTCAGTTCACAACACATTGCAGTTTTCAGGCTGGCTCAAGTCCCTCTCTTGTTTCTTTTATTTCTTCCCTGACCCTCACTCCTAGACCCTCTCCACAACAGTCTAACACAGTGGTTCTCAAATGTTGGTGTGACTTGGCCTCCTCAGGAGAGCTAAGACAGTGGTGAAACTCATCAAAGATGTGGTGAAACCCAGGTGAAACTGTGCACGCCAGGTTAGTAAGTAACCACAAGTAAGCCTGTGCGTACTTTGCTTACTGGTTAATCTACCCTTGGTGTGCATCCTACAATGCACTATCCATCTCCATGGTAACGGACACTGGGGTTGCCTCCAACTCCTGCTGCCTCCAACTTCCTCTTTCATTTGATTCCTGAATTAAAGCAAAGGGAAGAAAGGGGGTTGCAGTTCCCCCCTGAAAACGTGTCTGAGAAGCCTCTATATAAGCTTTCTATATAGATACGTATAGGATGACTGGGAGGGAGGCGGTCAAGGAGAGCCCTGGAACAGGAGTCAGGTGTCCCGGATTCTAACTGTGGCCCTTGGGCAGGTCACATCCCCTCTGAGCCTCCCTCTCCATCTCTGCAAAATGAAAAGCCGGGTTTTGTGAAGGTGATTGCCGTTCAATTTAGGGGAGGCTGACTGCTGTAAAAACAGATCCAAAAATGGGTAATCGCTGCTATGCAATAGGCATATATTTCTAGCTCATGTAAATGGTCCAAGGCAGTCAGATTGAGCAGGGGTCTCCTTAACAGGTCACTGAGGGACCAAGAATGACATAGGCTCTGCCATCTTCAACATGTGGCTTCTGATGACACACAGAACATGCTAAACATGGAACCAGCTGGAGGGAAGAAGAAAGAGCAAGGAGATCAAGGGTGGGAGGTGATAATGACCAGGCCTAGAAGTGGAGCCAGGTGGGACCCTCCCCTCTGCCCACATTCCATTGGTCAGATCTCAGTCATGTGGCTGCAGCTTGCTGCAAAGGAGATTGGGAAATGAAGTCTTCCCTGTATTTTTCTTCTTGATTTGTAGTTCCCTTTAGTCTGCCTAGGGGCCCTGGTGGCACAGTGGTTAAGAGCGTGGCTGCTAATCAAAAGGTCAGTGGTTCAAAGTCACCAGCCTCTCCATGGGAGAAAGATGTGGCAGTCTACATTTGTAAAGATTACAGCTTTGGAAGCCCTATGAGACAGATCTACTGGGTCGCTATTGGGTTGCTATGAGTCGGAATCAACTCCACGGCAATGAGTTTGGGTTTGTTTTTTTTTGGTTAGTCTACTTACATATCCCTTGCTGGCAGTTAGCTCTTCCCAGTCTGTGATCTGTATTCTTACTCTAGGTTTACCAAATCTGACCCGCTGCCAGCTTTTGTATGGCCTGTGAGCGAAGAATAGTTCTTACATTTCTAAAATTGTTAGCTGTTCTGGAGTCGGCTCTGACTCGCAGTGACCTTACACATAACAGAACGAAATGTTGCCCAGTCCTGCACCATCCTCCCATTCATTCTTATGTTTGAGCCCATTGTTGAAGCCACTGTGTCAATCCATCTCACTGAGGGTCTCCCTCTTTTCCGCTGACCTTCTACTTTATCGAGCGTTATGTCCTTTTCTAGCAATTGGTCCCTTCCGATGACATGTCCCAACTAAGTGAGACGAAGTTTCGTCATCCTCGCTTCTAAGGAGCATTCTACCTGTACTGCCTCCAAGACTGATTTGTTCATTCTTCTGGCAGCCCATGGTATATTCAATATTTTTTGCCACCATCACAATTCAAATGCCTCAATTCTTTGGTCTTCTTTTTTCATTGTCCAGCTTTCGCATGTGAGGAAAAAAAAAGAAGAATAACATCTTGTAACATGTAAGAATTATATGAAATTCAGATTTCAGTGTCCATGAGTAAAATTTTATGGGATTGTCATCCCTGCTCCTTTGTTTACATTTGGCTGCACTACAATGGCAGGGTTGAATAGTTGGGAAAGAGACTGTTCCAGAAAGCCAAAAATATTGTCTCTCTGGCCCTTCACATAAAGTATTTGTCAACCCCTGGCTGAGAGCATCCTTTAACAGCTGTGGCATCCTCAATCTCTTTGAGCCTCAATAATCTGGGCTGTAAAATGGGGGAAATTAATATATCTTTAGGAACTTGTTATTTGAAGTGTCCTCTGTGGACCCACTGCCTTGGTACGCCAGACCCCCAGAATCAGAATCTACCTTTTAACAAGCTGCTCCAGTGATTTATGTGCATATTAAAGTTTGAGAAGCACCGTTTTAGGGGATTTTGAAGATTGATTGAGATGATGAATATTATGATTACATAATGAATTATATGTAATGGTTATGAGTGTGGCTTGTAATAAGCACTCTGGATTTATTCGTTGAATGAGTTAATGAATGAATGAATCTCCCAACAGCACCTGGCTTTAGGTGTCCCATTTTACACATGAGAAAACAAAGGTTCAGATAGCTACTAGGTGAGTGAAACCAGTAAATGTTGGAGGCACCGGGTGCAGTGGGCATGTGTGTGGGGAAAGTTCCTAGAGACCTGGAGGCCACTACACAAAACTGCACCAGGGATTTGTGTGTGTGTGTATATGGGAGGGCTGCTCCTCATCTTCATACTCCCCCAAAAACAAAAAACAAGAAAAACCCATTGCTGTTGAGTGGATTCCAACTCACAGTGACCCTATAAGACAGACTAGAACTGCCCCATAGAGTTTCCAAGGAGCACCTGGTGGATTCAAACTGCTGATCTTCTGGTTAGCAGCTGTAGTACATAACCATTAGGCCACCAGGGTTTCCCAAGTTCCCCCTGGGAAGAGAAATTCATTTAGCTCACAGAGACCAAGAAGGTCTAAACCTTAGACTCAATTGATGATATTTACATATCTGAAGAACAAACCTGCCCACCCTTTCATTCATCCACAAACATATGTGAAGCCCTACTATGTGCCTGAGGGCAGTGGTGGTTAAGAGGCAGAACTCTTGCCTTCCAAGCAGGAGACCCACATTCCATTATCAGCCACTGCACCTTTTGTGCAGCCACCACCCATCTGTCAGTGGAGACTTGGTTTTATGATGCAGAACAGGTTTCAATGGAGCTTCTTGACGAAGATGGACTAGGAAGAAAGGCCTGGCGATCTATGTCCGAAAATCAGTCACTGAAAACCCTATGGATCACAACAGTTCATATCCTCAGCCGATCATGGGGATGGTGCAGGACTGGGCAGCATTTTTTTCTGTTGTGCATGGGGTCCCCATGAGCGGGGCTGGCTCCACAGTAGCTATAACAACAATAGAATTATAAAAGTATTCTCCATGCAGATCTTATGCACTCTTTGTGAGGGTAATTCTTAGAGAGTGAAGTGCATTCTACAATTCACAAATAGCCCATTTTTATATATTCCCCTCTCCCTAGAATCCTATTATCTCCGTTTTGCAGAAAAGGAAACTGAGGCTGAGAAGGTGAACGAACTTCCTCCAGGACACATAGTGTCTCAGCCCAGCCCCCATATGCGCGCAGCTTGCACGCTGAGTACTACCCAGTCTTGTTTCCAGCCCAGTGAAGGCCTAATGGGACAGATATGACCCTATTCAATCTCTCGCTGACAAAGCAAGCTGGAGGACAGACAGAGGCCAGCCCACATCTGGTCACTTTATTTTAAGATCTACATAAAGAGGGACGTGGCATAGATACACAGGAGAATGATGAGAACACAGGTTGCCTTGACTGGCTGTGCGAGGACCTGCGTGGATGCGGACCTAGAGGCTGTACTGCTTGTCCTACCGCTCTGGAACCTGGTGCTAATGGGCATGCCTGTCGCCCCGAAGCCACAGCCTCCTTTTGCCTCACTGGCCTCCTCATCCCCAACCACTAGGCACAGGCTGATGCAGGCTGGCGAGAGCCTGCTCTTGGGGGCTGGCTCGGGCCCGTGGAAGCAACGGCTAAAGGGGACGGCAGTGGCTGGGAGGACAGCGGTGACTGCATTCAGGTCTTCAGAGGTTGTCCACTCCAAGGGCTGCAGGCCACTGCACTGCATGGCTCGAGCCACCTGCCCCATGGCCACCTGCAGCCTGTCCAGGCAGCAGGCCAGCAGGGATACTACCACCTGCTGCAGCACAGCCCGCAGGAGCAGTTTCACCGCCTTGCTCTTCTCGTGGTGGAAGTCAGCCAGGCTGCGGTAGGCCCACTGGGCCGTGGAGAGCAGGGCCAGGCCGGCCTTCCACCACAGGCGATGCAGGATTCACAGGGCGCAGTGGCAGGCTCTGTGGATCAGGGTGGCAAGCAGCTGCAGGCCCCAGGCCCGCACCGTGGCTAGCGGCTGCTACAGTGCCTGAGCCAGGCAGAGGGTGAGCCCCTGGCCCACCTGCAGGCTGCTACCCCACAGGATGCAGAGGCCCAGCATGCAGACTGAGGGCCAGTAGGCAGCCTCTTCTGCCGTGGCTGCCCGCAGCTCTGGCAGCAGCACATGGATTTTCATCCGGCCCCAGCTGCACAGGAGAAGGAGCAGGCACTGCGAAGCACCCCTGCCCAGCCAGCTCCTGCCTTGCTGGGCATCACTCCTGCAGCTGGTGGTGGAGGAGCAGGGAGGGGGGACCTTCATGCCCCGAAGGCTCTGTGCTCAGGCTCTCACCCTGGGGGCATGATGCTGAGCTCATGCCAGAAGCTCTTATTAACTGACCCTCTGGCCCAAATGTCCTGTCATCTGGCCTGGGAGGTTTTGCAGCAATCAATGACAGCACAAAAGATCAGGAAGTGAGCTCATGTTCAAAGAGGGGGCATTATTGCTTCAAGGGGGCAAGACAGGTGACTTTTTTTTTTTTTTATCATTTATTTTATTTTTGTTGTTGTTGAGAATTTACACAGCAGAACATACACCAATTCAACAGTTTCTACATGTACAATTCAGTGACATTGATTACATTCTTCGAGTTGTGCAAACATGCTCACCCTCCTTTTCTGAGTTGTTCCTCCCCCATTAACATGAATTTATTGCCTCTTAAGTTTGCTATCTAGGTATTTGAGTTGCTGTTGTCAATTTGATCCCATATAGATAGATCTTAAAAGAGCTCAGTGCTCAAGGCAGACATTCTTTACTAGTTAAGCTAAACTATTGTTTGGTTTACAGAAGACTTCAGGGGATATTTTTGCTTTAAGGTTTAAAGATTATCTCAGGGCATAAGTTCAGGGGTTCATCCAGCCTCCATGGCTCCAGAAAGTCTGGAGTCCATGGAAATTTGAAATTCTCTTCTGCATTTCTCGCCTATAGAATCTTTGATCAAAATGGTCAGTAATGGTAGCTGGGCACCATCCAGTTCTTCTGGTCTCATGGCAAAGGAGGCAGTTGTTCCTGGAGGCAATTAGCCACACATTCCATTTCTTTCTCCTATTCCTGACTCTCCTTCTTCCTCTATTGCTCCAGGTGAACAGACACCAATTGTTGTGCCTTGCATGGCTGCCTGCAAGCTTTTAAGACCTCAGGTACTACGCAATGAACTAGGAGACAGAGCAAAAGCACTAACGAATTAACTGGGATGTCCCATGAAATCATGACTTTAAACCTCCAAACCAAGGAACCAAATCCCATGAAGTGTTTGGTTGTAGGCAGGTGACTTTTTTTTATTTTATTTTTTATTGTAGTTTAGATGAAGGTTTACAGAACAAATAGTTTCTCATTAAACAGTACACATATTGTTTTATGACAATGGTTAACAACCCCATGGCACGTCAACACTGGCCCTTCTCAACCTTGGGTTCCCTATTACCGGCTTTCCTGTCCCCTCCTGTGTAGGCAGGTGACTTTTGAAAGTGAAATTGTCTCATGTTCTAGGTTGGGCCCGCCGTGTCCATGCCCTCTTGCCACAAATGTGATCCAGAGGCTCATCTGTGCCAGGCTCTGCACTGGGTGCCAGGCATGTGGGGAGTGGGGCAGAGCTGTCTCTGTCAGTGTGAAGCTTCCAGCTTAGAAGGGGAGATGGACATTTAAACAATGTCAAGACAAAGCAGTTTCCCTCAGCTCTTCTCTTGCCCTTCGGCTTCCCTCAGCCTGCTCCCTCTCAGTTCCCCCTGACTTCCCACTGAGGTTAGAATTGGCACTTCTGGTTTTACCTGGCAGCAGAGAACATTTGAGCTACACCTTGGACCTTCTGCTGCTGCTTCCTAGAAGTTCCATTTTGAAAAGTAGTATTGTTGCAGGATCATTTGCAAATAATGTCAATCCATTTCTTTTCAGACCCTGGATTTTATCTTTGGATTAAACCAGACGATTGGTTGTTTTGGCCACTGTCAACAGCTTATGCCCATCGTGGGCATGTTACCATGAGTTCACTGGCTCCCACTGACTGTACACAGCTGTTGTGTGCTCGCTGTGGGATGAAGCTCTGGGCATCATTGGCTGCATCCCATTCTGGGCCCTTGAGGACGACCCTCTGGGACAAATTTCTTTCAAGCCTTATTTCAGGTACAGCGGGCTTTTTCTGGTCGCTTGTTTTTATCATGAGGCTATTATGAGCCCTGGTGGAGTAAGTGGTTAAGCACCCGGCTGCGAACAGAAAGGTTGGTGACTTGAACCTACCAGTTGCTCCAAGGGAGAAAGATGTGGCAGTTTGCTTCTGTAAAGCTTTATAGCCTTGGAAACCATATGGGGCAGTTCTACTCTGTCCTACAGGGTCGCTATGAGCGGGAATGGACACCATGGCCATGGGTGGGTTATTGTGAATCATGTTAGTAATATTTACCTTTTTGATGTGACTGCAGAGAGGCTCAGAACCAAATGGGAGGACTATTACTGGCACAGACCCAGACATCTAAAATGTGTACTTGTGGTGTGATCCCACCTCTGGCTTCATCTTATTTCCCCTCCTCACTTCCTTTCCTTTATCTTGTGGGGTTGCATACCTCTTGGTATGCAGATTTAGATCCATTCTTGGAAGAAGAAGGGATACCATTAAACCTGTGTAAGATTCTTAGTGTTGCTGTAACAGAAATACCACAAGCGGGTGGCTTTAAAGAGTAGAAATGTACTTTCTCACAGTTCAGGAGGAGAGAAGTCTGGATTCAGGGTGTCGCTCTAGTGGGAGGTCCCTCCTAACCTATTTCAGCTTCTAGTGCAGGTATGGAGCCCTAGTGGCGAAGTGGTTAAGAGCTCAGGCTGCTAACCAAAAGGTGGGCAGTTCAAATCCACCAGCCACTCCTTAGAAACCCTATGGGGCCGTTCTACTCTATGAGTCAGAATCGACTCAATGGCACACAACAGCAACAGTGTAGGTATTCGTCAGATAATGTCCACTCGGCAATGTCCAACGACATATACGTCTGTGGTCCCATAAGGTTATACTGAAATGGAGTTCAGAAATCCTGACTGGCGAACAGCTAGTATCAGATATGCTTTGCTAAGTACTATAGATTCTATCTGTCTCTCACTAGCTCTCCCAGTCTATGTCAGCGCACCCTGGTGCAGCAGGGGGAGGGGGTCCCCGCGCCATCTGCGGCTGCCTGTCCCACCATGCTTGTCTCAGACAGGGACTTCGCAGACACCGCCAGAGCTTTGATTCTTTGAAAAGAAGCTTTGATTTGTAGGAAGGTGCAGTGGGGTTTGAAGAGAGACAGATGTCAGCCCTACCTAGAAGCAGAATCTTTGATGTGGTGAAAAATGTGAAAGTGTTCACTACAGATCAGTAAATAATTACAAGCAAGCCCATGCTTACCTTGCTTATTGGATAATCCGCCCCTAGAAGGAGCCTGTGGTGCGCCTGGAGGCAGCCAGCTGGGCAGGCGAGCACATGGCACTGTGGAGGCTGGGTGTGGCTCTCACAGACCAGCGGTTACCACACAGAACCTGCAGCAGAGAAGTCAAAGTTTTCGTGCAGTTCCTGCCCAGTGACTGTCCTGTGTGCCTCTCTCTTATATATAATATGGTGTTGGAATAACAGTCAAATCACATAACGTCCTACTTCACAGAATGTACCGTGGACGTTAAGTGGCACATACCTGGTAGCTGGCAATCTCTGGAGTTCCTGGGTGTGTAGATGCATCTGCCTTCAACCTCATCAGACAGCGTCTGTCTTCCTCTGCGTCTACTTCTGTGTCTAATCTGCTCTTTTTATGACTCAGAGGTGATTAGGTTTAGGAGACACCCTACACTGATATGGTCTCATTAAAATAACAAAGAAAAAAAAGAAAACCCTATTCCAAAACAGGATTATATCCGTAAGCATAGGGGTTAGGATTTCAATATACATTTTTGGGAACACAATTCAATCTATAACAACCCCATAAAGGAATTCATAACTACATATATGAATGATTTCTCCCCTCTAAAGATAACTCCATCTACCCAGTATTCCATGATGGATATCCTCCTGCCCTCACTGTTCCCCACCTCATAAAAACAGCCCTCAGAGCCTGACCATTTCACCTCCTGATTCTATCCCTTTTATATGTCCACCTTCTGTGTCCTCTTCCAGGTCACCCACTGCCTTAGGCTGGGATCTCTAGAGAAGCAAAACCAGTGAAGCACATATGTATATATAAAGAGAGAGACAGAGAGAGAAAGCTTTATCTCAAGGAAATGGCTCACATGGTTGTAGAGGCTCACAAGTCCCAAGTCCATGGGTCAGGCATCAGGCTGGAGGCTTCTCCTGACTCATGCAGCTGCAGGGGCTGACGAACCCAAGATCAGCAGGCAATAGAGCAGACCGCTGGCTCAAGTCCCAAGAACTGGAGGTCAGATGATGACAAGCCAGATACAGGATCCAGAGCAAGCGAGTAAGCTTTGACAGAATGTCTATATATATTGGATACAGACCACACCCCCAAGGAAACTCCCTCTTCAACTGGTTGGCTGCTCACCTCAGATCACAAAATGGAGGATGACTACATCATTACATAACTGCCAAACTACATCATTACACAACGGCCAAACTACATCATCACAGCCAAACCACTGAAAATCATGGCCCAGTCAATCTGATACACAACCTTAACCATCACACCCACCCTGACAGCTTGCATGAAATCGTGAAAAGGCCATCCACCCTATCCCCATCTGCTGACCGGCCTCTCCCAATCCATCTGGCCCCTTAGTGTTCTTCTAAAACGCACAGATGCTTAAAGACCTACAGCATGTTCCATTGCTCTCAGGATGAAGTTTCAACCCCATAGGACTCTACCCATCTTCCTAAGCTTGTCCCCTACTCTGTGGCCACACCAAACCATAGCTCGTCCTTGAGCAGGTCAGGTCAGTGTCCTTCTTAACTCTGTGCCTTTGCACACACGGTTCCCTCTGCCTGGAAAGCTGCCCTCCTTGCCTGACAGATAGAAATTCTTCAAGACCCAGTTCAGACAACGTCTCTCTCTTTTTTTTTTTTTTATTGTTGTACTTTAAGATAAAGTTTAAAATTCAAGTTAGCCTCTCATACAAAAATTTATACATACACTGTTATGTGACCCTAATTGCTCCCCTTATACTATGACAGCACACTCCTCCTTTCCACCCGATTTCCCGTGTCCATTCAACCAGCTCCTGACCCTCTGCCTTCTCATCTTGCCTCTGGACAGGAGCTGTCCATTTAGTCTCATGTATCTACTTGAGCTGAGAAGCACACTCCTCACAAGTATCATTTTATGTCCCATAGTCCAGTCTA